TGAGCACAAATCGTCTAAGTAATAATCTCAAGAGAACATAATGTGTGTGCTACTTTCTCTTGGTAATCATGAGATGTGAAAGCCCTTTTCCTCAGTGACAAGCGGTATCAAGTGCAAAAGGGGTCAGGTATCTCAAGGAAGCACCGTAAACAGTTTACAGAACTGTCACATTATAACGTTATTCAACATATTCAACGACAACGCAGTTTACTGAAATCTTAGGAGCCACATAGATCGAGGGCCGTTCTGAGTTTGTGATCAAAGCTGATAACCTTAAAACAAGCGTGAAATCATTATCGGTTAACTGAAGATAAGATCAACTTTCGCCCTTCTTTTTTTTGCGTCATCACTGTCAAAAGTTTTCCACTTGCATTGTTTCGCACAAGATTCTCACTGATTGGCTCAAACCAATGATTGAAACAGTTTGGAAGTTATTTTAATGTTTTAAAAATCGTTGCATGTATACAGTGGAGTCAGTAACTTCAACGACTTCAATGACTTCAATGACTTCAATTCAAGAAAATAAAAATGTTGAGAAGATATCCATGGTAAAACCTACGGAAGCCCGGGGAGGGCACATACTGATTTCGTTTCATTTTTCACTTTTCCATTTTTGTTTTTCACTTTTTGATTTTCACCTCGCCATTTAGCTTTTCGGTTGAGATTTCGGTTTTTATTTTTTACTTTTCCGTTTTCGTTTTTAACGTTTTGATTTTCACTTCTCCATTTTTCTTTTCGGTTGAGATTTCGGTTTTTATTTTTTTATTTATTTCCTTTTTTTTCCGTACTTTTTATTTTGACCGATCTATTTCGTTTTACTTTTCAGGTTTTTTTTGCTTTTAAATTATATAAACCAAAACATAATTATAAACATTAAAAAACCAAAAAAAAAAAAAACCAAAGCCAAAAACAAAACCGACAGAGTAGACCATCATGCTTTGCTGGACGATCAATATGGCGGATCAAGGTGTCCATCCTGCGGAGTGCGGCTTTGTTGACGATGTTAGCCCAGGTAAATTTTCTAATTTTACCTCCATGGATCACTCTAAATCATAAACTGTATTTCTTTTCAACGTACCTTTTAATTCTTCTGTTTAAGCTATGGAAATCGCGTTAATCGACTAGATCATCAGAAGGCTAGGATTGGAGGTACTAATGTGCTGTAAGCTACCGCCCATTTGTTAAGCTTTCATTTACACTAGATCGTAATCGCGTAGACTGGAATATAAGGGGGAATATATTCTTTGAGGATAATGGAACGATCAAAGTTTGAGCAGTAAGTTTTTAACACGTGTCGGCTCTCAAAATTAGATAGATTTGGAGTCACGTTTAAAACTGACGGCAAACGTCAGATTCACCCAACGTCTGTCCTCTAATATAAGATACCTCAATGTTCGAATAAGCAAAAATGGAATAGGAAATGAGCCGATAGCAACCACTCAAAACAATTCTTATGGATAAAACCTGCGTGAAAATGCTAAGTTTTATATAGAAGTAATAAACAGTAAGCGACAAAAAGAAGGGAAATTTGGCCACGCGGTATATATATTCCCCCTTATAGTCACAGTCTAGGCGATTACGATCTGGTGTAAATGAAAGCTCAACAAATGGGCGGTAGCTTACAGTACATTAGTACCTGCAATCCTAACCTTCTGATGATTTAGTCGATTAACGCAATTTCCATAGCTTAAATAGAAGAATTAAAAGGTACTTTGAAAAGAAATACAGTTTATGATTTAGAGCGATCCATGGAGGTAAAATTAGAAAATTTACCTGGGGCTAACATTGTCAACAAAGCCGCACTCCGCCGGATGGACACCTTGATCCGCCATGTTGATCGTCCAGCAAAGCATGATGGTCTACTCTGTCGGGTTTAGTTTTGGTTTTTGTTTTTGGTTTTCGTTTTTTTTTAAATTTTTGTAATTAGATTTTGGTTTTGGTTTTCATTATATAATTTAAAAGCCAAAACAAAAAGTAAAACGAAATAGATCGGTAGAAATAAAAAAGTTAGAAACAGAAATAGAAAAGTAAAATAATAAAAACCGAAATCTTAACCGAAAAGCAAAATGGAGAAGTGGTCAAGTGAAAATCAAAAAGTGAAAAACAAAAACGGAAAAGTGAATATGATCGCTACGATCGCTGTGATCGCTGCGATCGCTGAGAAAAAAAGTTCAGCGATCATATGGGAACCACTCTCCAGCGAACGCAGCGACAACGATCGCCAGCGATTGTTGTCGCTGCGATCGCTGGAGAGTGGTTTCATATGATCGCTATATACTGATCGCTGGGATCGCTTTTTTTTTTTCAGCGATCGCAGCGATCACAGCAATGGTAGCGATCATATGGAAACCGGGAATTAATTTTATCATGGCATATTTTAAAAGTAAGGATTGGTTACAGCGAAACCTCTACATAAACTGTGTAAAAGCTTTGTGTATTAGCCTTGAAGGCTAATCGCATGGTCCGTCTCAATAAGTGCAGTAGTTGGTCGAGTGTGTTGATTTCAGTGACTTGAGTGGAGCTACTGTGAGCTGTTTATAGGTTTTTGCGAATAAATAACATAGACCTAAAATGTTCGTTTGTCCGGTGCCGAAAATATTTCAAGTCATGATGAAACGGTGCCGCCGAGCCTCACATCTCGGTAGATTTACTTTGTGGCACAACGGCAGCCGAGCGACACAACTCGGTAGATTTACTTTGTGGCACAACGACCGCCGAAACTTTTGAAAGATGAACGTTTTGAAAGATTCGGCAAAAACAGATCGATAGTAGACTTTCAGCAAACTCTTGAAATATGTACGCTTTACGAAGATTCAGCAAACTTTGAAAGATGAACGCTTTACGAAGACAGAATAAAAGACCTCAGCAAACGCTTGAGGACGCACTAATCACTACGTGAGTTAGTTCGTCAAAGTGAGGCAAAACGTAAGCAAGCGCCTCAAAGCGAGGCAAATGTGTGTCGACGACGACGACAAATACAATCTCAAAAAAACCTCCCTTATTAATTGCATAGGAAACCCAATAATGCAGATAACACCCAACACAAATTAGGGGTTGCGTTCTCGTAGCTCGAACGCAATTATTTTCCAAACCTTGCACCAACATATATTGTAAAAATAGCTGCATTGTGTAAATTTTAACGAAATAAACTAGGAGTAATCGGAGCTTAGGAGAGTGCCTTCGATATGTTTTTTAGGCCTACAGGTAGCAGTTGAGGGGAAAGGGTGGTTGCGATATAGATAAATATGATTATGGCATATTTTGAACGTAAGAGTTGCGTACAGCGAAACCTCTATTTAAACTGTTTATCATTATAAGAAGGTTTTGAAAAGATATCGTATGGTTCGGTGTCAAGTGCTTGTAATCAGAGGAGACACTGGCCAGAGTGCGTCGGGCGTGTAAATAGAACATTTTGTTTTACTGGCGCGATTACAGGGCGCAGTTTCTCAAAGGCCGATTAGTGCTTAACTCGGGATTCTTTTTCTTTCTTCAAAAACATCAACAACAAAAATGACAAAATGAATTAAACTGAATTTACTGTTTTAAAAGCTTTCACATCTGAATTCAAACTTCGCACTAACCCTGTCAAAGCCTTTAATGGAATGTGTGTGCGGCTCACGTCAATAACTTTTCCAGTAATGTGGTCGAGCGTGTTGATTTCAGTGTCTCGAGAATGGCGCTACTGTGGGCTGATTTATAAGTTTTTCCTAATAAATAACATAAAGTGTTCGTTTGTCCGGTGCCGAAAATATCACAAGTCATGATGAAATGGCGCCGCCGGGCTTCACATCTCGGTAGATTTACTTTGTGACTCAACGGCCGCCGAGCTACACAACTCGGTAAAGTTACCTTGTGGTACAATAGACTGCTTGCAGTCCGCCATTTCTCTTTTAAATCTGTCTAGTTCTTATCTCATCCAGCGCGATTGCAAACCACGACGTTATTATTACTAAAGGGAATGAGAGTAACTGCTTTGAAAGATGAACGCCGCGGACACAAGAATCACCAAGTGAGTTAGCGCGTCAAAGTGAGGCAAATCGTAAGCAAGCGCCTCAAAGCGAGGCAAATGTGTGTCGACGACGAAAATGCATTCTCAAAAAAATCTCCCTTATTAATTGCACAGGACACCCACTAATGCCCAGAACACCCAACACAAATTAGGGGTTGCGTTCTCGTACCTCGAACGCAATTATTCTCAAAAAATTTGTCGCATTTTGCATCCCCATAGTGAACACCAAATTGCTTCTGTAATGCGTGTTTGCCTACGCGCCGGCCTGGAAATCAGCTTTTGTTGTTTGTTCTTGTTGTTGTCAACGAAGCTTACTGTAAGTAAGCCCCGTTTACAATGAACATATCATTCATGCACTTCCTTCAGTCGACTTCAGTTTCACTTCACTGTCACCATTTCCGACAAACTGAGACACTGATGACTGTTGCTTAGGGACGGACCATTAGAAAAGTTATGGGGGGGAGAGGGGAATTTTCGTGCCGCTGGAATTTTTTTCGTTTCTCAAATTCCTTGTATGAATTTTTTTTAGGCAATAGCATGAATATTTTTTAGGACTAATTGGCGTGCATGATTTTTTTCTCATTTGATTTTCCCTTGCGCGAATATTTTTTTGGACTTCGCCCCCCCCACCCCACATAAGTTTTCTAATGGTCTGTCCCTTAGTGTTTCACTCCAGAATGAAAGGGCTCGGATATTCGTCGTCACATACGTGTAGTTACAGAATTAAGTATTAATTATGGACCGCCAAAATTCTGTTTTGCTGCTCAAGTATGACTTCACGGGATATCAAGAAAAAAGAAAGCAAAAAAGAAGAGAGGAGAGAAAATAGCTTGATGACAACTGCTCTCTTTATTGCAATATAATTTAAGGCTACACTGGTTACATGGTTGTCCTATTTTCTACTTGAATTATTTAGAGGTTAAACAATGCAGCTGGCAACGCGCCAGACCTGGCTTTCTTCGGGTTAAATTTTAGTTTTTTCCTGCCAACATCACCATCTTTTCCAGAAATGATATTGTCTAAAGAAGCATTTTCGGTCAGCTGTTGAGTTAACTTTCACTACAGACAAGGTTCCATCACAACTGCTAGTAAGACACATCGTACTATTTCGTATAAAAAACCCATAATATATATTTTTTTCCCCTGACTGTTTTTTCAACTTAATAAATTTAAACCAAACGTTTGCGCGTCCTTTTTCACAGGAAACATTCTGTGAAAGCAACAGATAAAAAATTAATTATTATTATTATTCTTTCTTTATTTATTTGTTCATTTATTTATTTACGATAGACTCTTACAATAAGCCAGAAAATTACAAAAAGTAATTCAAGAATACAGTCGACTCCTGGTAACTCGAACCTCCCGCTACCTCGAAGTAATTTTTGTTACCCTTCTGATCATTCTATACAATTATTTTACCCTCGATAACTCCAACCGGAGTTTTAAGCGCGTGACACTAGGCGAAAAAAAAAAAAAGTTTAACTGCATTTCAAAACGTTGAATTTGTTTCAAAACAACCGTGTATTTTTTATCTTTACTTTTTATTTAGTCCAATTTAAATATAATGTTTATCCCTGTACTGATTAATCAAGCTTTTTTTCTTTCCAAAAAAAAAAATATTTTTCTTGTTGCCCTTGAAGTGGAGTGTGGTTTATACTTGCATTCCTCTAGATTCCCCTTAAAGGTTTGAGTTATCGGGAACTAATTTATCAAATCTATTGCAGTAAAGGATACTCGGAAGGCCCATTTTTAAAAAGGATGATTGTTTCACAGTTGTAAGCCTTATACTCACTCACCACGAAGCTGACATTGTTTCCTTGTACCATAAGTGAATAGGTGTTGTTGAAAGAGATACATCTCATCTTACTGGGCTTATTCTTTTTAGGTTTCTCTAAGGTAAAATCTGCAGAAACATAACACCTATATATGAGCTTTACTGATGACATTGCACCAGTGCCTTTTAGAAAATCTCACATTTTATTTTTCTGGCAAGTGGTGACACATTCCTGATCAAACCAGAGAGAGCCAAAGGGGATAATAGGAGACAAATTTTCAATTAATCAAAATTAGGTAAAAAGAAGAATAACATTGCAAAATTAATAATTTCTAGGAGGAGTGAAAAAGATTTTTCCGAGGGTGCGGCTGGGTGTATCGAAAATCATGTTGTATCGCCAATAACATATAGACTTTTTTAGCCAGACCACATGGTCCCCGCAGTCGCGCGATTGTCTTTCGTAATAAAATACGGCTAAATTTTCGGCTTGTAGAAATCTTTTCAATCTTAAAATGATTTTGAGATGCAAAGTGACTGACGGCAGTCGAATCACATCATGAAACTCGCCAACTTGTCTGTTCTTGAATCCGTCTCTTTTCGGCACGATCGTCCGTTAGTACTAAAATATGAATTTTAACTTACGTGTCCTTGGATTTATTGTCGTGTCGCCATTCGCCATCGCTGAGCATTCCATTTGCGAGTTTTTATTTTCACATTTGCCCATGTTAATTCTCATATAACGGTCTAACTCATTAGTGCACCCCAAACCGGCATAATCAAACCTCCAAAACCTCCGTGGCTGGCTAGAGTATACATCCCCAGTAAACAAAAAGGCGAAAACAGTCTAGGAACAAAGAAAGGAGACAAGATAAGTTGAAACAAAAATCGAGCAAAATTCGAAAATAGTTTACCCTCAAACTCAAAATACAGTCAGACCTCCATGTTCGACCACCTTTCGTAAGACCTCGTAATCGACCGCCTCCCATAAGAAGCAACCACCTGCCTAGAAAACCTTTTTATCTCAGTCAATCCTCAATCAGTAAGAACCTCTCGTAAGCGAGTTTGACCACTTTTTGGTTAGATATTTTTATTGTTTCCCATTATATTTAAGCTCCTGTAAGCCGGTGACCACTTGATGCATTGTTGCTCGCTGTAAGTACTACGACGCTCAACGAAGAACTTATGGAGCGTCAAAACAAAATTACACGTATACGTAACTTAGAAATTGCAAGCAATAAATTCTACCGCAAAAAGTGGTTCGATTCTTCAAAGCGACGACCTCCGTTCCCGAAAGGTTGATTTCCACCGTCGCGTAATTTTGTGCGCGTAAATAAAATAGAGGCAATGTACGGACGTGCACGCGCCGTAAGCGTGAAAGTTGAGCGAGGTTCAACTTTTACGCTTACGTGCAGCCTTTCATACATTGCCTCTATCTCATTCACGCATGTAAATATAAATTTTACGTGCATTCGCACGGAAAAATTACGCGATAGTGGAAATCTAAGCTATGAATAAAGCACTGCCTGCAGGCCCCGTCCGTAAAACTCATTTCACAAAACTCGGTCCCCAGAATTATGAAATCCCAACTTAGAACTGAAGTAGCATGCGGCTAAACAAATTGGCCCTTTTTTGATATACTCACTGCGAAAAAACCTCTTAACTCCATTTTCTTCTGTTAACCACGACTTTCAGTTCTACTTCAAACTCTTTTGGATGACAACTCGATTAAGATAAAAGTTCGACCCCAACAATTTTATTTTTATAGTCTAACCATGATGTTTTAGTACAATTGTATCATATTTGAAGAATTCAATGCCCCTAAGCTTGTAAAATTTTGAATTCTTGATTAACATACTAAGAAATTCTTTTGCAATTAACGCAGTTTAAACAAATAAAAAGTTTGAATGTTAATACAGTTTGAAAGTCCGAAATTAGCGGAAGTATCCTTTTGAGTGATGTAATGATCGCGAAGGTATTTAACTCTTCCTTAGCCACTTGGTATCCGCCTTAGCGGCAAAAATGAGTTTTATTTTATGCCATTAATCCGGCAAGAATTACCCGACCGGTCAAGTTTCAGGGATGCTTCTTTTACTACTTCCCTTTGAGAGCACTGTCGAGAAAAATCTGTGGTCAAAGGTCTCTTTCCGCTTGTATTAACCACTTGTATGACTATCGAAGCGTGAGGCGTAAGAAATCATTTTTCTGGACCGATGTTCATCTATCGTGTAAACGGAGGGTTAAGTTGTCACAGTCTAACTGAATTCGCGATCATGGCTTTGATGATTTTATATTGAGAAAACCGTTGGTAATTCATTTCGATGGTATTTATGAAGAATATTCTTAAATATCAGTTTTAACGACATGAAATGTATTATTCATCGTGAATAATGTGTATAAAGGGTTTCGTTCTGATTGTTTGGCTCACGACCGTCACATAGATATTGATCGCGACGAACCGCAGTACACGGTCGAAACGTGGCGATCATTATCTATGTAACAATCGTTAGACAAAAGATTAACGAAACCCTGAACCCTTCATATATCAGTTACTCAAACTTAATTACTCCCTCACCCACATTTAGTATATATGACCTAACATAATGTTGCCTTAGAGATCTCAAGCATAGGCCGAGTAAGAGGTAAAACAAACGAATGCCCTGAAATGCACTCATCACTAGCAAATTCAGTTAACCGAACGTTGCCTAAGGAAGTTCAAAATCAGTAACTATCGAGATCTTGTCTCATTTGGAATTTAAAACCAAAACCCGCGAACTTGATCTTTCAGTGTTATTAATTGATCGTTACAATTACTCGGAATGCTTTCTTTGTAAAATCTTAATTATTTATTATTTTTATATTTTAGTTTATTTATCATATTTGTCCACATCAGCTGTATAAGCTGCCATTATTGACCTGCTAACCAAGTAAACCATGTATGTATGTATGTAGTTATCATTATCATAGATACATTTAAATAAACGTTGAATTACCTAACCTGTGGTATATTGTCGTCCTTTTGCCTCAAAAGCGGTTTTTTGAGCTATTTTGAAGGATTTTTGGTTTGCCGTTTACTGTTCGGCTTATAATAGAAGGAACCGGTAAACGGCAAACTCAAAATCCTTCAAAATCGCTCAAAAAACCGCTTTCAGTCAAGCAAAAGGACGACAATACACCACAGGTTAGGTAATTCAACGTTTATTTAACATTGATTTATATACCTTGCAAAGGAGCGTATAATTTGACGATGCTAATTCTCTCAGTTGAAGGCCACTGAATTCTTCAGTATACAATAAGACGAAGCATGCCCTACAGAATCATTACTCACTACTCACTACAATTTTCTTTCACAAAAAAGGCGCCCGAAAAATTGATACAATTTCTGGCATTTTTTCAGGCTAGGTTTATTCGTACAACATAAAAGTTAACCGACTTTCTTTCCCTTAACAAACTAGCTGTAGTTTTGTTTTGCAAACGCAGGATGGTGAAACGCCCCGGGAACACATTTGTACGAACTAATTAACCTATCACTGGAAGTTCTTATAGCCATGAAATGTGCTAATAGCAGTATACGTATCCTTATTTAACCTGGCCGGTGAAATTTGTCGATTTATTTATTGCATGTCCTAAACCTGCATCAAATATAATCGATTTTTACCTGAAGCTATTGAAACTAATTTATCTTATCGTGCTTAGGTCATTGCATCACTGCCTATGACAGACCGGCAAAATTTGATTTAACTCAGCCCACCCTTCACTCAGTCTTCCAACGAGGGCGGACGCCTGTTGCAAGAGACACTTAGTAACGGTCTACCAACCACACACTAACACTGCATAATAATTTTATATGATATCCCAGCTCTTGATTTTTTCCAACAAACCTAACTGAAACTACTTCGGCTGAATTAAAAGACGTTCTTTTAATTTTCTCCTTGTAGACTGAAGCGACAGACAGCCTGAAGCGACATAAAACATTGCAATGGTCCTTGTAAAAGTCGGTATTGGTTTATCATATATCTTCTAGCTGGCTCTCTGTAAAAGAAGGACCTCATCCGACTAATAACCGCTTTATCTATGCGAATTTCGCAATGTTTTCTTTTAAATCACCATCGTATTTTAATTTGTTATTCAGTACTGAGAGTTGCAAAGTGCTGAATTTACGGGGGCTGTTGTCTCGGCATCGAGTTCCGGATGAAAATTAATGAAGTTAGGCGTACCGTCCCTAGCTTTAAGTTGCTTAAAGACTCCAAAGTTGATGATATACTTATCCGCAAATCGTCTACGGTTGTTTTGCGATTGTTATCAACTACAGTCATTGCAAAAGAACACTGTGTTTTCAAGACAAAATGGCGTCTATACCCAGTGCACTTCTCTATGTGGACTTTTTGTGTACAAAAAAAGGGAAATCTTTGAACCGTATAGATTGGAAATTTTGAAGTTATGGTTACACACACAGATTGTGTGAGCTCCTTGTGGTGTGTGCCGCCTTGCTCTCCAAATCGTGACCCTATCCACTTCGAATTTGTATCATGTTACTCTTCCTTTGTCAGTATTCATTTTGGAACTGAAATAACAAATACGTTCATACACTCCCGTAGTTCCATCGAAAACGATACCCGATTCCAGACCAAAATGGGCAAAATGTAGACCCGTTTTCAGACCAAAACGGCTAAAAATATATATATATCCTTCGGGGCGGCACATACCTATATGGCTTATATAAGGGAGCTCCCCCCGGGACATTTACAGTATAGGAACTTTACATCAGAATGCTTTCTAGCACTTCAATGGCTTATCATTCTGTATTCGTTTATTATGCGACACATATACTATATACAAGTACCTTTAAAGTTAAACTGTTGATTTTGTGATTAATATTTTAAGTCATTTAGCTTAAGTCTCCAATTTTCCCAATTAGTGATTCTATTATACTACTATAATGACTATAACACTTTAATAACTGAATTTCTAATTCTTAAGTTGAACGTTAAACAAACGCTGAATATGTGATCTTAGTCTTCCAACTTCCTAACCCCCGGTGGATTATTATAAAATCGAATCATATTACATTGCTTTTGGCAATCTAGCAGATCAAGGTCAATTTTAGTTTCTTCTTCATCAGACAAACTTCTTGTGCGTTGGCGTGGCTTAGCACTGTTAGTATTGGGTATTTTAAAATTAAAAAGTAAATTAGCAAGAATTAGTTCAACTTGAATTCGCCTGCGTAGCAAGCGTTTCCAATCGCGGAAGTTGAAACGACAGCTGCAATAGATGTGGAGGATCTTTTTTGCTCGCTTGCTTCGCAGGCTAAAATTCAGCTGTTCAGCTAAATTGCTTGGCTATTGGTTTATACGGCCGTTTGTCATTCTGGCTTGCGTGGGTGAGTGAGTCCTCACAGAAATGTAAAACGCAGTACGTACGCGGATGATTCGTAATTCCGTGTACTTCAGTGCTTTGTAAAATTAAGGTTACGTAGATATGAAATTCTTTCGCAATGGCTAATAAATTTTAAAAAAATCACAAAGTTAAGGAAATGGATAATCATTTGAGAGCTCCCCGCTGGTCTTCGCTTATTTTATCATATTTTATCGGTATCTGACATTTCGAGTTGGCGTGGGGTCATGTACAAAATACTCAGTCTAATCATGCGTTTGTAATTAAGTATGGGTGAATCAAGAAAATTCAGAAAGGGGTGATCGGGACACTTGCCAGCTATATAGATACTTTTATTGTACTGAGAATTCTTTAAAAATACCTCAGAAAAAGGGGTCGCTGCTGTCCCTCAGCGGAGTGACAGGGCGCTTTCCATTTAGTCAAAATTTCCGGAATTTCCGGTTCGGCGGTAAATGGAACACGTTTCGTCGGTTCGTCCCACTGGAAAATTCCCAGAAAAAAGTGGAAAATCTAAAAAGGTGGTCCCGTTTTCCCGGTTGGAATTTCCGAACGGAATGTCGTGTTCCATTGACGTTTCTTGTAGTTTGTACCAGTTCCAGGTCCACGGTCGGGCACCCGGCCACGTACCGGGGTTTACGACCAAATGGGACAACTTTTTACCAATCGGAAATTCCACTTTTGCTACCACCGAAATTTCCGGGTTTTTTCGTAAATGGAAAGCGCCCACAATGAAACTACTAAACCAGACACGACGAGGAGCATTTTTAAAACAAACATCATTTGTTTGTAAAGAACAGTTTAACAATTGTAAAAAAGAAAAGACCGTGACCCCCACTTTGTAAGAGCTACTCGGCCCTGATCCGTTTTCTCTTTCCAAAAAATGCTAGAAACTTGATAAACCAAAGTTCATGTTATATCTAAAATTGACTGTGATACTATTGACGGCTATTTGGGACTGTTGGTATACAAGATTTTTTTTTTTTGGAAAGCCCACTTCGTTAGAATTTTTTCCCTGTTAATCTCTGACGACAAAACAGAGAAGTGAAAAAAAAAAAATCATGAAGCTAACATAAAAAATATATATATATTTATTTTGTGCCTTTAAAAGGATTGTTTTAAGGCTCATAATTCTTTATATTACCGTTTAAGTGAAACCATGCAAGACAACGAAGACTAATTGAAGTTACACAGACGAACCTTTTGGTTAATTGAAAAACGAATAAAACTACATTGTTGACTCCCGATAATTCGAACCCTCGCGCCAACTCGAACCCA